CTCACGGAAAGGTCCCGGTCTGCTCTTTCGATTGGAACCTTTCCCAATCATGTGACCGCCGTGACGACGCGTCACAGCGGTCACATGATCCCTAAACCCCGTCCCGCCTCCCGGCTTCTGAAACTCTTAAAGGGCCGGGAGACGCCGGCGGGAAGGGGTTAAGGTGGATCTCCTATTGTTGCTGAACGCACCTTTTGCCGGGTATAAGTATTACCTGTGAGCAGTTCGCGCCATTGATGAGAGTCCATTGAGAGGTCCGGAGGATTGTCCCTGGGTACACCAAGCGGCATCGGAGTGCCATATTCCAACCAGGTTCCAGAGGACCACTAGTGTCCCTTTTACTACATGCGTAAAATCATTTTACGTCCGGTGAATGCAAGCACACCCCTTTCCTTTCACATCACGGAAATCACGTTCACTTATGATTGTACGATGGAAGTTTAGGTGAATGTTCATTATCTTAAAGTTGACGCACATTTTGAGCGAATTTATGGACTTTTATTGATTTTTTTGTGTATGACATATAATGCACCTATATGGTATTGCTGTCACTTTATAATTATCTGTTGTCTTCTATAAGACACCACTGTTGTATCACTTACCAGCGCATCATTTTGCACCATTATCACCACTTTCCAAATTGAATTATTTATTCTAGCGCTGCATTTTTGATTACATATATGATTGAGGATTTTAGAGATTTTCCTTTTATGCTAGCAGCTTCTTTATTATTATTTTCCAGTAAGCGCTCGCTATATTAATATTTGTTAGATATACCGCACCGCATGTGTGTGAACCAGGGCTCAATGAGAATGATAAACAAGACAAATCAACAGGATGAATCTCCCTAACAGGGGGCACAGGCAGCAATAAAAACCTGACAGATGTTCTATTCCCTCTCCATTCTATCCAAATCTAACAAAAATGTTTTGCCTTTAGTTATACTTTAAACACCACTTTAGACACTCAAGTTCCAAAAAATGTGCTAGAAGCTGTATTTCCGATACGCAGCACTAATTATCTTCTCATGCTGCGTTATCTCTCCACGTTAGATGGTACCGATCAATATCCGCCTGAACAGGGCGCTCCGAATGGGAACTGAAGCAATTTGGGCTCAGCGCTGGCATGTGAGAGACAGACAGTGCCCAGGGCTACTTTCTAAAGAAAAACAATCGTAGAAGAAATAATGAAAGAGCAATGTCCTCCGAAGAAGAGAGGAATGTGGAACACTGATCAGAAAGTCCCGACATTCCATACAAACCATGACGGCTATGAGATCCAACACAGGCAGGTGGCTGACTCCAGGGACACTTATGGAGCAGGACATGCAGTACATGATATGATCTTCCCTGGGGAAACCCCCCATCCCTAGGGAGATTTTGGTAATAAAAGGGGTTAAAGAGCAGCTCAGCAAAAGTCAAGTTCGATTGCCCCTCCGGGGATCAGAAAGGATTTTTTTCCCTGCAGGAGCAAATTGGATCATGCTTTGCTGGGTTTTTTTGCCTTTCTCTGGATCAACTGTGGGTGTAGGATTATCACTTTTTTTTGGTTGAACTGGATGGACTTTTGTCTATTTTCAGCCAGACTAACTATGTAACTATGTCTGTTCCAGGAAACTGTTAAATCAATGGGTTTAGTTCCACTTTCAGTGTAAAATTACTACTGGTAAAAAAAAACAAAAGAGAGCATCAGGCTGGCAACTGTGCTTCCTGAAAGGTGATCCATTATGAATAGCTTTTAAAGGGCAGTAGCATCTACCACCCATGCGAACGAATCCTTAAACCTCACTATACTGTCGGTTGAGCTGGATGGACTTTTGTCTTTTTTTAGCCAGACTATGTAACTTTGTAAATCAATTGTTCAAAATGAAAAAACTGTCTGAAGGTTAGTAAGCCCACTCATTCAAAGGGCAATAGAGGGCATTTACCGTGTGTAAGTATTTTGGGGTTATTGCCATAAAGCTTGCCCTAACAGCTTTCCGACTGTTGTACTGCAGGTGGGTGAGCGGCGGCTGTAGGCAAAGCACCATACTGGTACGCCACCGCCTACTCCTGGATAATTATTATTATACAGGATTTATATATAGCACCAACAATTTGCGCTGCGCTTTATTAGAATGCACGTGTGCACCCCCCCACCTGGGACGCCCGCTGTGACTGCACAACATGTCCCAACCAATGATTCACAGCCGGGACCTGCTGATCAGCTGTGTGCAATCACAGCCCAGAGCTCTTATGTTGGTAAACAACACAGAGCTCTGAACCGAGGGAATGATTTCTGTTTCTCACGCCTGAAAAGCAAAGCAGGCATGAGAGACAGAGATCAGTTAGTAAAAGCAGCACACTGTAGACACATTACACATAGTTCGGCACACTTAGACCCTTGATCGCCCTAGATGTTAACCTCTCCCCAGCCAGTTTCATTAGTACAGTGACAGCGTATAGCAGTGGTCTCCAAACTGCAGCCCTTTGCTTGCTTTTATCTGGCCCTTTTGAGCACTCTTTCATCCACTGATACCAACAGTGGGGCATAATTCTCCCACTGACACCAATGAAGGGGCACAATTCATCCCAGTGACACTAACAATGGGGTCCAATGATACCAATGAAGGGGCACAATTTCTCCCAATGACACCAACAATGGGGCACAATTACTTCCACTGACACCCACAACGGGGCACAATTACTTCCACTGACACCAACAATGGGGCACAGATACTTCCACTGACACCAACAATGGGGCACAAATACTTCCATTGACACCAACACTGCGGCACAATTCTTCCCACTGACACCAACAATAGAGCACAATTCTTCCCACTGACACCAACAATAGAGCACAATTCTTCCCCCTGACACCATAGATGGGGCACAATCCCTTCCACTGACACCAACAATGGGGCACAATTCCTCCCAATTATACCAAAAGGTGGTGTCAGTGTTTTTTTCCTATTGACTTCAGGATCTTTTCTATTCCTACCCCCCATAGTCTGGCTCCCCTAAATTTTGGAGGACCGTAAACCGGCCTTTTGTTTAAAAATTTGGAGACCCTTGGTGTATAGTATGTGATTTAAAACCCATGTACCCACACCTATCCGGAGTTTGCATGTTTTCCACGAACCTGCGTGGGTTTCATCCACGTACTCCAGTTTCCTCCCACACTATAAAGACATACTGGAAGGTTATTTGGCTCCCGTCTAAATTGGTCCTAGTATATGTACGAATGTGAGTTAGGGACCTTAGATTGTAAGCTCCTTGAGGGTTAGGGACTGATGTAAATGTACAATATATATGTAAAGCGCTGCGTAAACTGAACAACACTAAACAAGTACCTGAAAGAAATAAATAATGGGGCACAATTCCTTGCACTAACACCAATAATGGGCTACTATTCCTCCCATTGACGCCAAGGATGGGGCGCCATTCCTCCTACCAATGCCAATTATGGGACACTCATCCCCTCCTACTGACCACAAGTTTTTTTACTCCCACTGACCACCAAGCCTGAGGCATTATTTACATTGACTCTGGAGCATTTTTTACTTCCTATGGCCACAGTCCGGCCCCCCTAATGTCTGAAGCCCATTGGCTTCTGCTGCTGTCAATCAAATCCTGTAAGGGGGGCAGGGCCGAGCCACGCTGTGCGAGTCTATGGACAAAGACAGCCCGGCTCAGGAGCAAGCTCGCAGGTGTGCTACAAAAGGAAGCAGCTTCCTATGGTGGCATAATGAGAGGAGTAGGAGCCAGAAGCACCAGTGAGGGACCACAGAAGAGGAGATTTTGGGCCACTTTGTGCAGTTATACTGCAGAGAGCAGAAAAGTATAACATATTTATTATTTCTAACAAAAAGACTTCACAATTACTTTAAAGTGGTTGTAAAGGCTGAAGGTTTTTACCTTCTTGCATTCTATGCTGTGTGCATAGCATAGAATATATTTATACTTACCTGAGCCCCCTCTTGATCCAGTGATGTGCACGAGAACCTCGGCTGTCCCGAGTCCCTCTGCTCATTGGCTGAGACATCAGCAGTAGCCATTTGCTCCCACTGCTGTCAGTCACAGCCAGTGAGCCAATGAGGAGTGAGTGGGGACAGGGCTGAGTCACACTCTTACAGACGCATAGAGGAGAGCTGGGGAGCGAGCACTCACCAGTGCCCCCATAGCAAGCGGCTTGCTATTGGGGACACTGGTCAAGGGGGAGGAACCAGGAGCACTGGTGGGTGAACAGAGCAGGTAAGTATAACATGTTTGTTGTTATTTTTTAAAGAAAAAACTGAACCTTTAACATCACTTTAGGTTTCACTTTAAGAGGCTCTTTTGCCTAAAAAAAAGTGACATCTTGTGGCGTCTACTTTGGAACAAAAAGTTTACAATGGAGTACAAGTACATTTTAAAAAAAAATAAAAAGACTAAAATAATGGAAAATAAAATGAGACTATAAGAAGTACAATATAGAGGCATGGCACCACTGATTTCTATTTCCCGGGTGAAGAGATCTGTGCCTGTGTCTCTTTGCCCTCAGCAGTCATTCAATCATATACAGTAGTTACTGGAGGATACCCATAACACTGACATGACCTGCAAGATCCAATCACTGGAGCTATTAGCACACTCCACCCCCCAGCGCAGCCTGCCAACACACAGCACAAATGGATAAATCACAGCCAGACAGTCCAACAATAACAATGTCTGATCTCTGTATAATTGTTATCATAAAATTTGCTTAAGAAAACAATGGAAATGCCGGCTTTCAATAGAAAACCCCTCCCTGCTGTGCTGCCCTGTCAGATCCCAAATATCAGCAGATCAGCTAATGAGCGCACTCTTTATTTATTTATAAGATCCAGAAAAACTGGGTCTGATCTGCCACATCCTGAAATCTATAACCCGGGTGGCTACAGTACACAGCGCCAGGTTAAAGCAACTGCCAGCGTCCTACATAAAACAAAAATAGAAGTAAAAAAAATATATATTAAAGTGTTACTAAACCCAGGAGCCTACATTCACTACATCTGGTCTCCCAGGACCCCGCATTCACTACATCTGCTCTCCCCGGACCCCGCATTCACTACATCTGGTCTCCCAGGACCCCGCATTCACTACATCTGGTCTCCCAGGACCCCGCATTCACTACATCTGCTCACCCAGGACCCCGCATTCACTACATCTGGTCTCTCCGGAGCCCGCATTCACTACATCTGCTCACCCAGGACCCCGCATTCACTACATCTGCTCACCCAGGACCCCGCATTCACTACATCTGCTCTCCCCGGAGCCCGCATTCACTACATCTGCTCTCCCCGGAGCCCGCATTCACTACATCTGCTCTCCCCGGAGCCCGCATTCACTACATCTGCTCACCCAGGACCCCGCATTCACTACATCTGGTCTCCCCGGAGCCCGCATTCACTACATCTGGTCTCCCCGGAGCCCGCATTCACTACATCTGGTCTCCCCGGAGCCCGCATTCACTACATCTGCTCTCCCCGGACCCCGCATTTACTACATCTGCTCTCCCCGGAGCCCGCATTCACTACATCTGGTCTCCCCGGAGCCCGCATTCACTACATCTGGTCTCCCCGGAGCCCGCATTCACTACATCTGCTCTCCAAGGACCCCGCATTCACTACATCTGCTCTCCCCGGACCCCGCATTCACTACATCTGCTCTCCCCGGACCCCTCATTCACTACATCTGCTCTCCAAGGACCCCTCATTCACTACATCTGCTCTCCAAGGACCCCGCATTCACTACATCTGCTCTCCCCGACCCCGCATTCACTACATCTGCTCTCCCCGGACCCCGCATTCACTACATCTGCTCTCCCAGGAGCCCGCATTCACTACATCTGCTCTCCCCGGAGCCCGCATTCACTACATCTGCTCTCCCCGGACCCCGCATTCACTACATCTGCTCTCCAAGGACCCGCATTCACTACATCTGCTCTCCAAGGACCCCGCATTCACTACATCTGCTCTCCAAGGACCCCGCATTCACTACATCTGCTCTCCCAGGACCCGCATTCACTACATCTGCTCTCCCAGGACCCCGCATTCACTACATCTGCTCACCCAGGACCCCGCATTCACTACATCTGCTCTCCCCGGAGCCAGCATTCACTACATCTGCTCTCCCCGAGCCCGCATTCACTACATCTGCTCTCCCCGAACCCTGCATTCACTACATCTGCTCTCCCCGGAGCCCTGCATTCACTACATCTGCTCTCCCAGGACCCCGCATTCACTACATCTGCTCTCCCAGGACCCTGCATTCATGCTACATCTTCTCCCCGAACCCTGCATAAATATACATTGCTCTCCCCCGAACCATGCATTCACTACATCTGCTCTTAGAGAACCCTGCATGTCACTACATCTGCTCTCCCCGTCCATGCATGACATATGTTAAAGCTTTTAGGAAATGCAATTATTTTTAGTCCATAGGAAATTGCTAAATACCTCTGTCATCAGTGCTGATTAGAGCATCTTGTAATGCAACTATCAGTGTCCAGCTGGAAACCTCTCCAGCAAACATTTAAAGCTTTTAGGAGGAGTTTTTAATTTGCTCCATGAGGATGCAGAACCCCTGACCTCTGTCTGGACAGTGCTGATTGGATTATGCTGATCACATGCAACCTCCCAAGGAGAAAAAGAATAGTGAACTCCAGGGGTCCAGGGAGACCAGATATAGTGAACGCGGGGTCCAGGAGCCCAGACATAGTGAACGCGGGGTCCAGGAAGACCAGATATAGTGAACGCGGGGTCCAGGAGACCAGATATAGTGAACGCGGGGTCCAGGGAGACCAGATATAGTGAACGCGGGGTCCAGGGAGACCAGATATAGTGAACGCGGGGTCCAGGGAGACCAGATATAGTCAATGCGGGTCCAGGGAGACCAGATATAGTCAATGCAGGGTCCGGGGAGACCAGATATAGTGAATGCAGAGTCCGGGAGACCAGATATAGTGAATGCAGAGTCCAGGGAGACCAGATATAGTGAATGCAGAGTCCAGGGAGAAAAGATAGAGTGATTTGCAGGGTCCTGGGTAATTTTTTTAAAGCTGAACTCCAGGCCAGCCTCCCAATATCCCAATAAGGCCTCATAGACATAGATGGTTTGGGATAAAATCTCCATGCACCGTGGAGGCACGGATACAGCCTATAGACCACTGCCAGCAGCTCAGTGACATCAATGACCAGCTGAAATATATAACTCTCCCAGGTCTCTCCCTCCACATTGGCAAAGACACAGCAGTGGGAGCCACTGGCATCTGCTGCAGTCAATCACAGCCAGTGAGTAGGGAGCGGGGGGCAGAGCCAAGCCGCGCTCTGATGTGTCTTATGATACCGAGAGTGGGGCTCGGGAGCGAACATGCACCAGTGTTCCCATACCAAGCAGCTTGCTATGGGGGCCCTGCTCAGGGGAATGGAGCCAGAAGCGGCAGCGAGGGACCCGAGAAGAGGAAGGATTGGGGCTGTTCTGTGCAAAACCACTGCACAGAGCAGGTTTTGCATTACTTTCAACAAAAACCTAGGGGATAGCTGGGAGAAGGGTGGATTTTCCAAGAATATGGAAATCTCAACTACAAGCCCCACGCCCCCTTCCCAGAGTGACACTGGAAGCTGTAAATCCAAACCTGGAAATAGTGGTGTCACCTTCCCGTTTGTGATTCTTTCCTTACAGATGCCGCTAAAAATAAAAGCACACCGGTTAATGGAAGGCTCAGAACAGAGTCAGGGGAGCAGGTGCTGAACTTGAACAGGTCACATCCTTTAATAAATTAGGACAGAAAAGGAGATGGGAACTGCAATGAAATGACATTTAGTTGGCTCAGTGTATCATAAACAATTGCTGCTTTTTAATAAAATACTTGTTTTCACCTTTTGTTAGCTCTTGTGACACCTCAGTGTTGCTGATCCCCTAGAGACACATCCTATCCATGAATACATTCCAGTGATGGCGGCATGGCATTCCTCAGTCAACGTTTCCTGAAGGTGACAATAGCGGACTATGCCTATGAAACTTGTTGAAATGGCTGCTTGCACTGTAGACGCCACCGGGAAAGCAGGACGACAGGGTGACAACGCAGAAGAAAAATTGGGAGCCTAAGACAAAGCGTTGTCACCCTATAACAGGTATTCTCTAAACAAAGGATCACCAGGAATTTTAATGAAAGCCTCAGATTTAAACATATTGAAAATGATTTTTGAAACTACATTAACTTATTACAGTTTATATGAGATTTTAGAGATTAAGTTTACATATATGTTATTCACAGATTTTTGCAGCTGAAAGGAGTCTATACCCTTAAGGCACAATACCAACAAAGTAAAATGAGGAATGGCTGGGTGTTGGGATATTAGGTAGACTGCAACCTCAACAAAATTGGCTCAGCCGAGCTAGGCTCAATTCACAAAGCTTTATCACAAGGTTATGGCCTCCTTTTCAAAAACAATAAGTGCTGCAGTGCATTATTATACAGTCAGGTCCATAAATATTGGGACATCGACACAATTCTAACATTTTTGGCTCTATACTCCACCACAATGGATTTGAAATGAAACGAACAAGATGTGCTTTAACTGCAGACTGTCAGCTTTAATTTGAGGGTATTTACATCCAAATCAGGTGAACAGTGTAGGAATTACAACAGTTTGCATATGTGCCTCCCACTTGTTAAGGGACCAAAAGTAATGGGACAATTGGCTTCTCAGCTGTTCCATGGCCAGGTGTGTGTTATTCCCTCATAATCCCAATTACAATGAGCAGATAAAAGGTCCAGAGTTAATTTCAAGTGTGCTATTTGCATTTGGAATCTGTTGCTGTCAACTCTCAAGATGAGATCCAAGAGCTGTCACTATGAGTGAAGCAAGCCATCATTAGGCTGAAAAAACCAAAACAAACCCATCAGAGAGATAGAAAAAACATTAGGCGTGGCCAAAACAACTGTTTGGAACATTCTTAAAAATAAGGAACGTACCGGTGAGCTCAGCAACACCAAAAGACCCGGAAGACCACGGAAAACAACTGTGGTGGATGACCAAAGAATTCTTTCCCTGGTGAAGAAAACACCCTTCACAACAGTTGGCCAGATCAAGAACACTCTCCAGGAGGTAGGTGTATGTGTGTCAAAGTCAACAATCAAGAGAAGACTTCACCAGAGTGAATACAGAGGGTTCACCGCAAGATGGAAACCATTGGTGAGCCTCAAAAACAGGAAGGCCAGATTAGAGTTTGACAAACGACATCTAAAAAAGCCTTCACAGTCTGGAACAACATCCTATGGACAGATGAGATCAAGAACAACTTGTACCAGAGTGATGGGAAGAGAAGAGTATGGAGAAGGAAAGGAACTGCTCATGATCCTAAGCATACCACCTCATCAGTGAAGCATGGTGGTGGTAGTGTCATGGCGTGGGCATGTATGGCTGCCAATGGAACTGGTTCTCTTGTATTTATTGATGATGTGACTGCTGACAAAAGCAGCAGGATGAATTCTGAAGTGTTTCAGGCAATATTATCTGCTCATATTCAGCCAAATGCTTCAGAACTCATTGGACGCCACTTCACAGTGCAGATGGACAATGACCCAAAGCATACTGCAAAAGCAACCAAAGAGTTTTTTAAGGGAAAAAAGTGGAATGTTATACAATGGCCAAGTCAATCACCTGACCTGAATCCGATTGAGCATGCATTTCACTTGCTGAAGACAAAACTGAAGGGAAATTGCCCCAAGAACAAGCAGGAACTGAAGACAGTTGCAGTAGAGGCCTGGCAGAGCATCACCAGGGATGAAACCCAGCGTCTGGTGATGTCTATGCGTTTCAGACTTCAGGCTGTAATTGACTGCAAAGGATTTGCAACCAAGTATTAAAAAGTGAAAGTTTGATTTATGATTATTATTCTGTCCCATTACTTTTGGTCCCTTAACAAGTGGGAGGCACATATGCAAACTGTTGTAATTCCTACACCGTTCACCTGATTTGGATGTAAATACCATCAATTAAAGCTGACAGTCTGCAGTTAAAGCACATCTTGTTGTTTCATTTCAAATCCATTGTGGTGGTGTATAGAGCCAAAAATGTTAGAATTGTGTCGATGTCCCAATATTTATGGACCTGACTGTAGGTGTTTCTGGAGTCCCCCACAAACATATGGATCCTGCCAGTGAAGTCACCTAATGCAGCATAATGTGATGGGGTGGCAACGATACTGCACTGCTCTTGAATTCAGAGCAGAGTTGTCACTCTCATGTAACTTGGTTGCACTACAGTGAATGATGGGGGTGTGGCTATCAGCATTTTCACTGATGATTCAAAAGTTTTTATATTGTCCGTCAGCAGCTGGTCACACCCAGTCCTGCCCACTGCTTTCTGGATTGGCAGCACTGCCTCTGCCATTGAAACCCTCCCACTGAGAGCTGCAGTGCCTGGGAGGGAGAGTGTGAGAGGTACAAATGAAGGAGGAGTTGGCTCAATCTGGGAAGGTTAAAGAAGTTTTATTACATTTTTGAGGCTTGTGCATCACATAGTAACAGATTTAGTAGATGTTTAGACTGTCATACAGGGCCTTAGCAGGAATGAAACCTCTGGTGACTCTTTTTTTTATATTGAGCCCCAGGAGGTTTTTAGCCATAACAGAATTGTGACTCTTGCCAGGCAAACGATCACCTCCAGCGCTATCACCTGTCACGAGCTACTGCCATCTCCTCCCAGTCTGTCTTCCAGGTTCTGACTCCCTGGCCTGTAGTTAGCCAGGCCACAATGACGGAACTCCCGCACACTTGCATATGGGAGTCACATCATCATGGCATAGAGCATTTTCCATTATATGTATGCGCACGACAGGCAGGGAGAAGGGTTTATAAGACCAAATGGGTCTCCTTTGTCATAAAATCCCACATCTTGCATTTTTTTTTTTTTTTTTTTTAATTCCACTTTAAAGATATATATTTTAGTCATGTGACTGTAAATTTCAAATCCCATTGATGAAAATAAATAGAAATGTTTGTAAATATGTATTCTAATCCTGGTGTGTAAGCTTTGTTAGTACTTTGGTAGACTGATCTTTGCTTTTAGTTATGCAACTCATCATTCTATGTCGTCATTCTGAGCACACTGACATCTGGAAGGTCCGTGTACATACAGGTATCAGAATTCAGGTGGAAAGTTGGCCCTTCAGCCGCAAGGTCATATGCTGTCTTTGGCGTGTGACCAGCTTTGAACATCTGAAACTAGTCCAGCCTCCCGCACACTTATCAGTCTATCAGCTGCTGGTTACAGGTGCATTCACTCATTGCAGAGGGAGCTGGAGAAGGACTCGAGGACGAATCACACGGCCATAGATTAGTGTGTATTACAAATTCAAACAATGTCCCCTGACCGCAGTATAAAGCAAGGCAGAGCGTCACTAAAAGTTTAACAACAAAGACACACAGTGACAAATAGAGGACAGTGCTCAGAGACAAAAGCTGGAGAGCCCCAAGAGGGTTCAGATCATCGCCAGTCCTCAATTAGAGACAGGTGCACATGGAGCCCGCCTCTCATTTATTCACCAGATACAGTATGATATGCATGGAGTCTGCATCTGGGCACGGCCCACCACTACACAGTGGCTTTAACCCTTTTGCTGCTACTGACATGAGGCTTACATTGGCCACAGCATGGGCTTTTACACATATTCCTAGCTGATATTTTATATACTGTGTGATATATATATGTATATGTATATATATATATACATATACACACACACACACACACACTATATTGCCAAAAGTATTGGGCCAGCCCTCCAAATCATTGGATTCAGGTGTTCCAATCACCTCCATGGCCACAGGTGTATAAAAGCACCTAGGCAGGCAGACTGCTTCTACAAACATTTGTGAAAGAATAGGTCACTCTCAGGAGCTCAGTGAATTCAAGCGTGGTACCATGATAGGTTGCCAGCTGTGCAATAAGTCCATCCATGAAATTTCCTTGCTACTAAATATTCCACCTGTGACGATCCCAGGGGTCGCTGCCACCAATATGTGACGATCCCACGATTGCTGCCACCAATATGTGACAAACGCGGTGTCAGACCCCAGCCCTTCTCACCAAACTTGTGACCGAAGGACTAGCCAAAACCACGATGTCACGTGCATAACAATGCCATAACAATGCCATAGCTGCACCCTGCACAACGATTTTCCAGCTAATTGGACCACAATCTATGTACCGGCAGCCTGAATGCGATTGTTACTGGGTCAGGTTAATTATGCAATTAACCCTTCACACTGCCACCACCTCCTTTTTGTACAGAGAAAGAGGAAACTCTGCGATATCAGCTATAACACTATAATGGTTGAGATAATCGTCTGTATAACACGGTCACCACAGGCCGGTTATACAGAGGGTTAAACAAATACAGTAGCGCTCTTTTAGAGGCAGGAATTCGTAAATTGGAATAAAGAGCTATAGAAACAGTTCAACACTTTCAGAAGGAAATATTTATTACTAAAAAGGTCAAACGGGTGCAATAAAAATATTTACAGAAAAAAGATGTAATCAATATATATATAAATATACTGAGAGCAACAGCACAGCAAAGAGATAACAGAGAGAGGTTAGAGTGTTAAAGTACTTGCCAAAGTCCTGGGCTAGCAGATCAAGTTTCAGAGCAAAAGGGTAAGGGTCTCCCAGGTGGTCCGGATGGTAAAAGGGAGAATTCTTCAACTTAACTTTCTTAGGCCTGACAGCTCAATTTGTAGTTCTTCAGCAGGGGTGTCTCTGAAGTCAAGGACCAATAACCAGTTTAGGGCGGGAAGGTCTGGGCGTAGACCTAAACTAGAGCCAAAATCTCCTATAGTTCATATTTTGGCTCATAACTTTCCATATGCACAAGTGACACTCCACCCACACGTAGATTATTATGCAGACACGTCTGAGGATTGATTAGATATGAAATATGAAATTCTACACTGAATGATTCACGAGATCTACTTTTCTGCTTTCCTATGTATTCCAGCCAAGGAGAGTGACCAATCAAACTGTTCGCCTCTTCTTGGCCAATCTGACGATATGCCTGGTTTTTATGTAAGTCTCTCATATTCCAAGATATGAGACATAGGGGAAAAATGGATTTTAAAAGTGTTTATCTGGTTCTTGCTTCGTTGGAATGCCTTGAACTCCTGGGAAGGCTTGCGTTATCTTTTACAAGGTGTGACATTGCACAGCTCTCTCAGACAACCAGGCACCTCGAGGCTCCCTGCTGGGCTCTGGCCTGCCTGCAACACTTCCAACAAACATATGTCCCTGTGGATTAACAGAGAGGGAAGGGGGAGAATGAGGGACCACATGGAGATTTCTTAACAAAATGGAGGACTGCGTCAGTCTCTGGGTGTACGATTGCGACACCACCATCAACTGTTAGTGGTATTATAACAAAGTGGAAGCAACTGGGAAACAACAGCAACTCAGCCACGAAGTGGTAGGCCACATAAAATGACAGAGTGGGGTCAGCAGATGCTGTGTCTGGGTTTGGCAGTTGTCAGAACGGTACTTGCCTGACTGCACTGTGCCAAGTGTAAAGTTTGGTGGAGAGGGGATTATGGTGTGGGGTTGTTCTTCAGGGGTTGGATTTGGCCCCTTAGTTCCAGTGAAGGGAACTCTTAAGGTGTCAGCATACCAAGACATTTTGGACAATTTCATGCCCCCACTTTGTGGGAAGAGTTTGAGGATGGACCCTTCCTGTTCCAACATGACTACACACCAGTGTACAAAGCAAGGTCCATAAAGACATGGATGAGAGAGTTTGGGGTGGCGGAACTTGACTGGCCTGCAGAGTCCTGACCTCAACCCCATAGAACACCTTTGGGATGAATTACAGCGGAGACTAGAAGCCAGGCCTTCTTGTCCGACATCAGTGCCTGACCACACAAATGCACTTCTGCAAGAATGATCAAACATTCCCATAGACACACTCCTAATGCAACTTTCACACAGTGGAGTTTTTGAAAAACTCAAAGAGAAATACTTCCCTATGTATGTTTTCACACTGGGGCGTTGTGCTTCAGTTGCGGTATAAAAACTCCTGCTTGCAGCATCTTTGGAGCATGTTTGTTCAGTAAAAAAAAAAAAAAAAAAATGCCTCTTTTCATTGAAACAATGGAAAACGCCTGAAAAAACGTCTCTGAGAAGCGTTTTTGGAGCAGTTTTTAGGTCATGTGAACCTGTGCCCCCAATAAATTATAAGTAGTCATCAGCATGCCCCCTTACATCAGATGTCTCCATCAGAGTACCCCCTTACATCAGAGGTCCCCATATGGAGTGGCTCCTTACATTCGGTGTTCCCATCAGAGTGCCCCCTTACATCAATGTCTCCATCAGAGTGCCCCCCTACATCAATGTCTCCATCAGAGTGCCCCCCTACATCAATGTCTCCATCAGAGTGCCCCCCTACATCAATGTCTCCATCAGAGTGCCCCCCTACATCAATGTCTCCATCAGAGTGCCCCCCTACATCAATGTCTCCATCAGAGTGCCCCTTTACATCAATGTCTTCATCAGAGTGCCCCCTTACATATGATCAGTTATCCCCATAACAGTGCCCCCCTACATCAAGTGTTGTCATGAGAATACCCCCTTACATCAGGTGTTCCCATCAGAGTGCCCCCTTTCATAGATTGTCCTCATCAGAGTGCTCCTTTACATCAGCTATCTGCATCAGACTGGCTCATGGACCAGTAAATGCATTCCCAGAGACCTGGCGGGGGTCCACAACTAAAATCCGGGAGGTTGGGGGGGGGGGGGGGGGAACAGCCCTCCCCAGCACTTCCCTAGATCCGGCCCTGACATACACTATATATATCTTGCGTCTTCATCTTTCAAGTCAGCTATCAGCTGTTTACATTCACACAATCATTTCCACGCATTCACAAAAGTACTAAACTCCCCTCCATCCACCCCACTACCCTTCTTGTTGGCCCAAAGGGGCATGGTGGGTGTCTGCAGGTAGAGCAAAGGGAGATCAGTGACGTCAGTCCACTGATCTCCCTTCAGTGAATGTGCCTTAAAGCAATTAGCATTTCAACATTTCCTGGTGCAGGAACTGTCATTCCCCGTCTGCACTGGCCAGGGAAGAAGCTGAACAAGCATAATCTGTGATTGACTAACTTCAGTGGGGTCCAGAGGTAAAATCAGAGTTCTAAAACACCCCTAAGGTCTCCTTAAAGAGGACCTATGCATTAGAAGCTGCAGCAAGTCAGATAGAGTTCCACCTCACTTCCTGGTTTCTGGGCATCCAGCATCATCTGGCGCTTTCCTCCTCAGTCTGGCTATTCCCGACCCATCCCTTTCATTCATTGGATTTCAGTTCTTTCAATCTGGGAGGCTCAGTGTGGCATGTAGGCATTACCTAGGGTAGTCTGCATGCACATGCACCCTATGCCCAGACCAGAGGCGGACTGACAACTCATGGGGCCCCCAGGCAATAGGGGATCATGGGGCCCTGTGTCCTTGCCAAAACTCAAAAAAGCCTATGAAAAAGGTACCAGGGGCATCTCATGGGGCCCCCTACTGACTCCGGGCCCTCGGGCATTGCCCGAGTTTCCAAATGGACAGTCCGCCCCTGGCCCAGACTGAACTCCACCCATCAAGGAATTTTGATATTTGTATAAATCCTCCCAGCCCACTGCTTGCATCAGGACCAATGGCTCTTGATAGGAGTAGTGAGGCAGGGAGCTGTGATGTTTTCAAGAAGCAATGTACAGAACACTGCTGGCCCCTCCCACCACTCATCATCTACCTGCATTGCATAGAGAAGCACAGAGATGACATCACTAGATCTAAAATAAGGTATATAACGAAAACAGGTTTTATTTAAAAACTGAATTAGCATGTTGATTAGTGGAGAGAAAGAGGGAACCAGAAAAAAGGCAAAGTTAAAGCAGACTGAACCTCAGCTATAGACAAACAATGGAAATAAATATTATTAGGACACACATAAATATACCATCTATCAGGCAGACTGTGTAGCAGACAAGCCATCACACTGGAAGGCTGTAAATGCTGCTTCTGCGCAGTGAAATGCAGGTCACGCCTGAAGGCTGCATGTTCATTTGTATATTTAATGAGGAGGGCAGGAGGCTCCAACAGTATATTTAAAAATGGTTATTCTTTACCCCTTAATGCTAGCCATACACATCCATGACAGTAAACCATAATGCTTTGCGCATACAACCAGCATCTCTTGTTTGAACTGGGAGCACGCTCAATTCTCTACATTAAGGGAAAAAAATAAACCTTCTGCCTTCACAACCACTTTAACTAGTTGCAGACTTTAGGCATGCTACACAATGCCAATCAAGGTCATCCTTGTACACAAGGGAGTGTGTAGCATGTCCACTCCTTCTGCCCTGCTGCCGGGATCCCCGTCCCAGTACACTGAGATTTGGCACGGATTAATCAAAGCTGCACTGCTGAGTACACAGAGAAGGTTGACAGCTAGAGCTGTCAAAAAAATGCAGGCAGACACTGTTTATCAACAACACTGCTCAACCAATACAGAAAGATACAAAGTAATATTGTTGTACATTTTTATCATTCTGTTTATTCATCTGCAGATCAAATGGATGAACTGCATCTGCAGATGACATCAGTTAAACCAATCAGAAAAAAAAAAAAATATCAAAAGCAGAAGTATACCGCAACAAAGAACAAAAAAAAAAAAAGCCCTCCCTGGGTGGTTCTATTCATAATGTGCTAGTAGGACAGACCTACCTGAAACCAAAGCCCTCCAGCGGCGTACTATCACGTGGCGCTTCCATCTTCACAGGTTTGCGGGCTTCGGCCGTATGAACAGCTGAGCCACGACAATCGCAGCCGTGGAAGAGAAATCTGAAGGAACAGTACAGGTATGCCAGTGACGTCACTGGCTGCTGAAAAAGTAACTATCTCCTAAATGGTGCACATTTATAAGACATTTACTGTACCTATAGGTAAGCTTTATATACTATAGGAAAGAACCAAAGAAGAGGCTTTACTACCACTTTAAGTTTTTATTTTTTTACTTTTTAATGTTCTGTTTAATCCTTTAATAACTCCTAGTTCACGCTAATCATCCCTAATTAATTCCCTATTTCTCCTCCTCCAATCAAATACCTTCCTGCTGATTTTTGAGGGGTTTTTTTGTTTGTTTCTATTTCATTAACTATTCATATTTCAACTCTTAATGTTTTTGCTTGTCTTGTTTGTTAATATTTTTTCACTTTTAACATATACAAGGCGGAGCATTCAAAGTCTCCTAGTTCACGCTAATCATCCCTAATTAATTCCCTATTCTCCTCCTCCAATCAAATACCTTCCTGCTGATTTTTGGGGGTTTTTTTTTTTGTTTCTATTTCATTAACTATTCATATTTCAACTCTTAATGTTTTTGCTTGTCTTGTTTGTTAATATTTTTTACACTTTTAACATATACAAGGAGCATTCAAGTCAAACCAGGACTTTTAATTGTACAGGTATAAAAAAGAGATGCTAGTGTGGCGGTACTACATGCAGTGGCAAGTGTGTCCTATTACTGATAGCGGCGCACATGTCACGAGCCAGTCCAGAGACCGTTAATCAAGATGGCAGACAACAGTGTTAGTGCGTGCATGGAACAGCGCGTGAATGAAAGTGTAAAACACACGGATATCTACAGAAGACTTCATGCACAGTACAGTGATAAACCGCAGTAAGACATTTGAAAGGTGTAAACGTTTCAAAGATGGCTGTATGTCCTGTGAACATTCTGCGCGTGGAACGTCTGATCCTGGATAATCGATGCATAACCCATCGTGAAATTGCATGAGACGAATCTTTCTGTGGGATCAGTGAGCACAATGATGACGAAGTGAAGCCGGCTGTTCTAGGATGGTTCAGGCGTATCTTTCTTTGGCGAAACTTTCCAAACATTAGTTAAAACGCTGGGATAAGTGTATAAATGTAGCAGGGGAGTATGTCAAAAAATAAATGCAATTTCCACTCCTTGAAATTTGTTCTTTTATTAGCCCTGGTTCACATATGTGTGTTCCTGCGGGCCGCGTTTGGCACGGGCCGAAAGACCATTCATTTGCATGGACTCCCGTGCCCAGGGACACGCAGGGAACAAGTCCCTGCACTTCTTTAGAAACCGCAGCCAGCATGGGAACCTCGGTTCCCAGTACGGTTGCGATTTCCGGTGCGGGCAGCGTGCCGTTAGAATTATTTCTCCTCCTCCAATGCTCATCTCCAAGACTTCACTAGAGCCTCTCCAATCCTCTGGCACTCACTACCTCAATCTGCCCAGCTCTCCCCTCAGTAGTGTATTTAGGTTTTGTGCTGCCCTAGGCAACACAACAATCGTCTGCCCCAATGGACACCGACCAACAACCCCCCACCCCTCCTGCGGAGAGAGCCTGATATTGACCAACAACACCCCTGCCCCCCACTCAGGAGAGCCTTCCACACTCATTTTCAAAGCTCCGGACATCCTTGGGAACGAGA